AATTTAATTAAATTTATTTATATTAAATTCAGAATATTTTATTTTTATATGTTTAAAAATATTATAATCACTATAATATTATAAAGCTTATTAATATGATATAAACTTATATAATAGAGATTTATAAAGTTATATAACTAATTATTCAATAGATATAATAACTAAAATAACAAGATTTTAAACTTTATTTCTTGTTAAATTTTTTATATATTAAATTTAATATTTAGATATATTTTACTTTTTACTTTTCTATCTCATTTACTTTAAATATAAGAATACAGTTTATTTTAATATATTGATCAACTCAATTATAATCACTTATTTCTAATTTTCAGATTGTAGAAGCTTTATCTAGCTGTAATACTCAGTACTAGTAATAATCTTAAATGAAACAGAGTTTCATTACAGAGTCAATTTTATCAAAGTTGTATATATTCTTTGACAAAATCTCATACTTAACAATTGCAGTCTTCAAGATCTTAAATCAAATTTGAATAATTTTTATATTTTCATATTTAATCTAATCATAATTATAGTTTCTGAAGTAGCAGATCTGAAGCTCTGAACAATATATCATTAAATTTAACATTCAGTCCTTGTCAATATAGAAAAGAATAGTGATAAAGATGATAAAATTTTATATAATAAAAAAATAATTAGTTGTATTCTTAACAAATATCAGCTGTGAGAAAAATTCTTATTTAATTTAATTTAACACTTATTCAACTAGACTATTCTCTTTAATCTGAGTTAATTTGATTGAATTTATATGTAGATTCATACAAGCAGTTCAGTCATTGAGTTGATAATTTTGTGTAGAGAATGATATATTAAATACATATGCAGCTTTATAAATTAAGAATATTTCTTACTTTTTTAAAGCATTTATCATGAGCTTAAGTCTTTTCTCTCTCTCAAGAGAATTTGAAGCATTTTTATTGCAAATTGATGGCATAATTGTGCATTAAGATGGATGAGTAGTTAAATAAAAATGATATTTGAATTGATGATTCACTTAGTTAGGTGATCCCCTCACTTGGGAATTACATTAACTAAACTAGTAACATAACTAACCAGTTAGTTAGCTGACTGTAACATAGCTGACTAACTAATACCAATCCATACAGATAATGTCACGTGAGGTGTTTGACATTAAACGTGACCCTCTCGGCGCCAAGGCTTGCTGGTGAATAAGCGGAAACTATGGCTTGGGTAAACCTTGAAACGGAGTCGCCAGTTCTGCTGTCATCTGTGTTGAGATACAATCAGCAGGAGGTAGAAGCCATTTACTATCATCGAAGAACAGATGCCATTCTTCATCCCACATGAAACAAACTTTAGGAAGCTGTCAGTATTTTCTGTTGAAGAGGGGGAAAAACTTTAAAAAGGTGACGGCTACTTACGAATCCATCCTGTTTCTGTTTGAGTTGCACCCGTCCAATGCACTAGACCAGTTTGATTCTCGCGATATAGGCCCGTTATGCCGAGATGCGTTGGAAGTTCAACGAATCGGATGCCTAGAACATACATTGGAAGTCTTTGTCAGGAAAACACGTTCATATAACTTATCGGCAAACCCCAGGCACTGCGGAATGGGACATCGTCTCATTTCCACTGGCAGAGACTGACGATGAGGGAGAAAGGAGGAGATTTTTCTAGTCCACATACCAGTAGTCATAGTATCGTTGTTAAAATCCATAAATCTCTCAGGGGTAGTGAGGAATTTTAAACCACCTTCAGGAGTAAAATGAACCAGTGAAGCTGAGTCTCTATCAGTTACTCCCACAACCCAGATACCACTTGGAGCCTGCTCTGCGAAAGCGTAAATGGAATCGCCGAAACAAAGCCTATACAATGTTTCGTTATGTTGCCGTCGGGGCTAGTGTTGGTAGAAACGAAGCTGCCGGTATTTTACGTGGTACAATAGCAGCTGCAGATATTCCACTCGCAGCTAAGAGTAGCTGGAACAGCACGAAGAGCGCGTAAAAATGCATGTTTCTCTGGAGGTATCACAATTGGATTTTCCTCGTATCCACTGAAAATTAAAAATTGAAAACCAAGACGATGTGTTCAACTGATTAACCTGAATGGCATCCATTGAAAAGAATAAATTCGAAGATGGGGAATGGGATGGTAAATATATAGTCTCAACCGATACTACTGAATGTTTGCCCCCATGAAACCTCATATGAGGATCCCATAGTATGTTAACATCCACACGATATGCGCACATCAAAACATGTTAAGGTGGGTTCCTATGACCTCTTCTTTTGAGTTCATAATTGCTTCCAATTTGCGGGGAAGGTGGGGTTTCAAGGTAGACTTTTGCACAGGGTTCCCAATTGAAAGAAAAGCCGGTAGCGGATAAAGCTCCTTCAGCTCTCGACCGCGATTAATGAATGCGGAGTGATTTTCTATCCCACTTTCTGTCCCGGTTGCCTCCACTTGAAAATCTCACGAAAAGTTAACTCTCTAGAAGCCTAAGTGTGTTTTTGACAGGAGGGCTGCCGATGTGTGGGTTGAGGAAGAAAATTTGGTTCAGGAACTGCCCTCTGATCGCCCTGGCTAACATATAAAACCGCTGCGGTTGCACCGTTGTTCATGGAATGTACGGGATCCAGATTGTCGATGGATCCTCCCCTCTTCTCCCCTCCCCTCCCCTCCACCCCCAAATTTTCTGATTAAGGCAATCCGGGTACTGATCCCGAAATCTGGGTTATGGGGTTATTAGAGTTGATCTGGGTTTCAAAAAGGTTGAACGTGGTTTATAAGTTGGGCCCACTTTTTAACCTTAGCACTCATCACCAGGTAGATAAGGATTAGGATTAGGTTAGGATTGGGATAGGATTGGGATAGGATTGGGATAGGATTGGGCTGGGGTTAGGATAGTTTGAGTAGGATCTCAAAATTCATGGAGGATAATGTTCATGCTGTGATTTGCACTATGGGGAGGCACGTGGGTCCCTCCCCACGTTGTGGCGTTCACCAAGTGCTCTACCACCGCGCTTGCTGGCTTAGCTCAAATCTTTCATATCCAGAATAAAAATCGATGACGGGGGAAATCAGCATCTGATTGTTGTGGCCGAATGGTCGGGGCGGCCGCTAGATGGCATTTGGCGTCGGTAATTAAGAGCTGTGGGTTTAAATCCGATAACAACATTTAAACATAGGGCCATTATTTAAAAAATTTCTAATTAGATACTAGTTATTTGATATAACTTAGTTAATATGCTTAATTTTTAACATATAACTATCTTATCAGATTTAAAATTGTTGTGAAATTTCTTAGATCTTAAGCTTTTTATACAAAGTATTATCTAAATAGTTAGTTAATGTTAGAGGATTCCCTGGCTACCCGAGGTCACGTGCACCTATGTATTTATTAGTAGCAGCTAGCTCGCTTAGAGTCACACAATGCAACAAGGTCGATAATGGTCCTCTAAGAGTTAACTAATGTAATCAATCACCTAGTGAGATAGATCATCTACTGAGACACCATCCAATATCTTTCTAATTGAATATCACCACAACTAGATAGTAAAACCAGCTAATTACATTATAAATTATTCCCTGTATGCTGGGAGCATGTACAAATAGTATGTCCTATAACACCACATCCACTGCACTGTGGTGCTGCTTGCTTTTGTGATTGCTTATCAGACTGTGTTGGAGCCTAGGCTTCCTATTATGGACTAGCGCACCGCACAATAGTATATAGCATCTCTGAGATAGGCTACCAATACAACCACTTCAGATGTCCAACAGGTTATGGCCTGGATAGCTTGTTTTTCTTTTTGAAGAGCCTTCTGCACTACTTCCACACCCTATTTCTTCTTCTTTAATCTGAGGTATAAAATGTCTCACAGAGACTGCATTGCTGAATTGCAGCAACAATTTGATGAAAAATAACTGTTTTGAAAGCTTTGATCATGTGAAAAAAATTGAATCAAGAAGAGGTAAACAGATGTTTTCAAGAATATAAATTGCAGAATCATTGAATACCCCTGCAAGCAACAACATGAATAGAGATGAACATGAATATAATATATCTACTTCTGAGTCTAGAGAAGAAACTAATCAAAAAGATAAAATAAATATGAATGAAAGCAATATGAATATGATGCAAATGATGATGAAATACATGAAAAGATAAAACAGACAGATAGAAAGACTCATATAAAGACTAGAAGAAAACTCAGATTTTTTATCAAATACTATTAAGAATTTCATCAAGAATAAAGTTGATGAATTTTATAAAGATGCAAAGATTAAATTAAAAGAAAAGTATGCAATTATTCTCACTGAAGTCAACTATTTGAAATAAAAAAACTCTATCCTTGCAAATGCTTATTTGATTTAGATAAAAGATGTTCTTAACAAATAACAAACAGTATTTTCTATCACAGTTTCTCTGAAAATTGAGCTTTAAAATAAGAAAAATGAACTTCTTTACACAAAAATCTTTCAATTTTTAAATGCAACTGTATGCAATTCTCTAGAATCACTAAATGAAGATTTTTATCTAGCAGTAACTATATAAAAGAATCTTGCTCAGTACTATACTATATCTCATGCAGAAGAACATCTTCAAATCACTAAGAAGTTAAGAGACTTAAAGTTCAAAAATAATGATTTTCACATCTATCTTGCAACTTTTCAAAATCTAAAGATAAAACTTATATCTCTAGATGAAAATTGAGTTAAAAATATCTATTATAATCTATTTATACTAGAACTGAAAGACTGATAACAAGAATTTGATAAAATGAAACTGTATAATTTCTATGTTATCAAGCAGAGCTCTATTCAGAATCTAAATCTTGATAAATTGATGAATTAGTTGACTACTTGTACCACTATCGCTATAACTCATTTCAATTCATCTGCTGTAAATGCTGTCACTGAATGATTTGATGAATATTAATCCTACTACTGTGAGAATACAAAGCATATAATCAAATACTGCTGGTTCAAGAACTCAAATCTTGCAAACACTAAATAACAGAAGCATAATAAGAAGCATATTGAGATATTGAAAAATAGAGATAGAAATAAAACTAAGAATAGAGATAAGAGCAAAGATAGAAATACAGAGAATTCACTTGCAAGTCAGTTAAGTCAAGCATTCTTTACAACAATTTCTTCAAATATTGAAGAACTTTTAAGAAGTCAGTTAAGTTATGAGTGAAATGAAAAAAGAATTTAATGAATACAGTAATTTGAAAAATAAAATTGATTAACAGAGAAGATAAATATGATTGATTTGAGCAGAACAGTAGCTAGTCTATATGATAGCTAGTTTATACAGTAGCTAGTTCAAAAGAAGATGTTGAAGTTTAGAATTTTTATTATAAACTAATACACTGCACAATAGTATATAGTATTTCTGAAATAGACTATCAATACAATCACTTCAGATGTTTAACAGACTGCTCTATTATCTCTCTTTTTTTTTATAATATCTTTTTATACATGATTTATCTCTTCTTGAACAGTCAAGTTCTCTCTCTAACTTATGTATATATAACATCTTTCTCATTTTCTCTTTTGCTTTGAATTTACAGTTTTCAGCTCTTTATTTTCTATTATTGAAATAACAGCACTATGCATAGTCATCTAATATCTTTTGACTAGCTGTTCTAGAGCTTGATTAATTGAACAGAGTGAACTCTATATACAGTGCTTGAAATATTTCTTAATCTTCTCACTCTGAAGCTTCAGTTGTTGTATATTATGAGATGTGGCAGTAGCCCAGGAGGTCTGAGAGTTATATAAGATCTCTGAAGAGGTTGATATATGTATCTGAGTATTAAACTGGGAAAGAATCTGCTATAAATTATATAAAGCCAGTTCTGTAGCTCTAAATCTATTCTGAATATTCTTTTTACTCAGAGCTGCTGTATGAACTGAAGAATAGATAGTTAAAAACTTATTCTTATCAATAAAATTAATATCAAGTCTCATTCTCTTCTTAATCTCTTTTCTGTATACTTGTTCTAATGGAGAAAAACAAATAATATCTAAAGACTGTAAGAGATGAGAGAAATGAGCTAATATATAAAGAGAAATAATTAAGTTTTGAGTGCAAAACTGATTAAACTCAGGATCATTATAAATGCTATGTCTATCAAGAATTAAGAGTTGATATTGGTCAATTATATGAGCTTAAGTATGTTTATTGAACATTTCTTTAAGCCAGATCAATCCCAGCTTATCAGTTATTCATTTATTTTTACTGATTTCAATCCTTCAGTTGTATAATAGCCTATTCTCAAATCAAGAAGTCTGATGTAAATTTCTCTTAAGAATGATCATTGAAGATAATGATCAGTCTGCTAAATTAACTCTCTCAATAATGATGACTTATTCTGTATTTTCAAATTGTACAAACTTTGAATGAAAAGTCTTCTCTGACTTAGTAATTATTTTGACTGTTTCAATAACTCTCATTTGAAACTTAGTCTCATCAAGGTTGTATATATTCTTCTGTACAATGTCATATTTCTGAATAGTATTCTATACAAACTTGAATCATTTTTGAATAATCTTAGAATCTTCACATAGAGATTATTGATGATCATATAATCAGAAGAACTGAGTTTTAACTCAGAATGATAGTTAATGAATCATTTAATCTAGCTTTTATCAACAGTTTTTAAGTTGAAAGAGTTATCTCAATTTACAAGAAGAAGATTGACTGTTTCTTATACAGTACTCACTTAGAGAGGCTGATTATGTTTATTTATGAAGATTATTCATTAAACAAGAGATAATTTCTTAATAAAGATCAGTTTTCAATTTTTTAACTGAGAGTTCTTTCACGTCATACAGCTGTGAAGTTGATAGCAGAGAGTGGAATGAGAGATGTTGTACAATCTGGCAGCAGCTTTAGAACTAGAAATTTGATTTTTTTTAACTGTTTCAATAGCTAAAGTAAGTCTTTCTTTCTTGTATAAAGAATTACCATCTTTGATTGCTGACATTTTGATATTTG